TGAGGAGCCAGCAGGGGTGCGAGGAGGGGGCAGTGACCCAAAAAGCACTGGCTTTGGGGCAGCAGTGCCCGGGGCTGAAGGGACACCCCCTTTCATCACGGCATTTACCCTGCCAGCCACATTTCCCCCGCCTTCCCCTGCCCGCCAGCAGAACACACTTTATGCTTTCCTATTAGCTGTCATTATTTTACAGGGAAAACTGAAAACCACTAGAGCAGATACTAATTTCAAAAGAAGACACTGCTGGCAAAGTTGTTGAAATAAAAATATCTGAGGACTCAAATTCATTTGATTTATAGCAAAGATCTGCCATAATGCCTCTTGGCCGTTTAGGTGACTGGATTTTTTTGGCTGTCTTATGGAGATGCCTGCAGTCCTGCCTGTATGATTGCACTCCGTCAGGTTGAGGAACAATATTCAGAGTAGTTGGTGATGTGTTAGTCATCCCTCCATTGTAAATCATCTTTGTCAGCAAGATATTAGGAAACATTTCTTTACTGAAAGAGTGGTCAAGCATTGGAACAGGGTGCCCAGAGAGGTGATGGAGCCGCAATCCCTGGAAAAAACAAAAAATGTGCAGATGTAGATTCTGTTTCTTTTCAGATCTTTGCATACAAATAAGAATATTTAAAAGAACAATGCTCTGAGAGGGATAACATATGTGGTTATGAGGAGCTTCTCACGGTGTTTAAATGCCAAGATGAACTTGAGGTGTTTTCTGAACTGTAAAAGTCAGTTATTACAAGGGCTCTTCATTGGTAGGTTCATTATTCTTTTCATATTGTTCAAGAAAAAAAACCCCAAGAAACTACACTGTAAAATTAAGGAAACACTATTTTATATTCCAGTGAAGGTTTGGAAATTGTTGATTGTTTCTCTGGGCTTGATTTTCATAACTGCTGGGATGGGAGCATTAGCGGGTGTGACAGGGCAGAGCAAGCACGGTGCATTTTCATGTTACGTTCTTACAAAGCACGTGTATAAAAATTGATATCCACTTCTTACATACAGATGCATTTTTCTGGTGGAAACATTTGCATGCAAAAAAGAACACTTCTGTTATGATGCATGTTCTGAATTGTCTAATACCTGTAAACCTACAAGTGTTGGATTTTGTCCAGGCAGTGCTGGTGGAAATTTTCATACAGTGATTTTCTTCTGACAGTTGTTTTGGGTTTGTTTTGCTGCTGTGATGCTAGTTCCTGTGTTAGTGTATTGACATCTGCGTTGGATGTTCAGGTTCTGTCTTCTGTATATGGAAATGTCTGTGTATCTGCAAATGCCCATCGAATTCTGAGTCCATATTAAGCAAGGAAATGAAGATACGCAAATGAAACTCAGAGAATTACCCATGCTGATTTATAATAAATGACTAAATACCACAGAGAAATCAAGAAATAGTCAATTTAGCTAAAACCAAAATTTACTATATTAAAATATGCAATGCAATTAAAATGTCACTTTAACATGAGAGAATATTAGCGATTTATATCTTATACATCTAGGGCCAGATTCTGACTTGGTTGGTAATCCAGGAAACTCACTGGGATGCCTAACGTTCCAGTGAAATACATCTCATTTTTTGCTCTGATAAGGACCCTTTGACATAAAAGAGGATGGAACAATTCATATTTTGGGGTTGTCTTATTATATACAGGTGCAATTCCTGGATGCCAGTGTAATGCATCGGGTTCATACAGTCTGGCTACCAGCAGATGCAAATGAGGAAGAAGCTCCCTTCATGTAGCTGAGCTAAAGCCTCTCACTTTGGAATTATAATCCCTCTGGTATTCTAGGGTTGAAGACTTCTCTGACTGCAGGTTTGCTGAATTGGGCAATGGCTTTGCGATGTACACACGCGCTCACTAGGGACTAAAGTAGATCTTTTGACCGAAGGCAAATAGAATTTAATCTCTGGCCCTTGGAGGTTTCCTTTATAGTTAAGAGTGGCTTCTGTGTCGTATCAGTGCGCCTACGGATTGAAAGATTGGCTTACCTTATTAATGTGTGCCAAGTGATTTGCGTGTAGTACATCTGAAAACACCCAGGGATGTTTTTTTCTTATGTGTAAAGTTGTCTTTTACAGCCTGAAAAAAGTACTTAGCCGTGCATAATCTTGTTTCGGAATTCCTTGACGTTTATTATGGCAGCTACTCTCGGAACTGTTCAGCTTTATGCACTGACAGCGATCACATCAACTCGAATAGGTAAAATAACAGTATAAAAAGTTAGTACTGGTGCCGGTTTTTTAAGTCACTTGATGCTTGCATTTGTACTTCCCTACTCGTCCCCCAAGTAGTCTGGGGCTGTAAATCCAGTTGCTTTTGCTGCAAATTTTAGTGACTGGGTCTGCAGAAGAGGGATAATGTGCTTGAAAATATGTACCTTTTTAATTGGGATGTAAGTCTAGGAACTTTTTTATGTGCATCTATAATTTTGTAGAAGCGCCAAGCTTAGGGTAGTTAAACTTGTAACGTACAGTGAGAATTGTTGTCTTTGTGCACCTGTATTGAGCTAAAATCTGATTACCAAAATATGAAACAAGTTTCAGCAATTGCCAATAAGAAGACTGGGAAGAGGTTGTGTGACTAATTTTTTCATTTTAATGCAGGATTCCCTCCTCCAAATTGTGTACAAGGTCACTTCTCATCTCAGTTATCCCACTGCAGGCCCTGAAGAAGAAAAACGCCCTAAATAAATTTCCTGAAGGCAGAGTTTATATGCTGGTAAGCGTGATGAATTCTGCACAGAACAATTAGTCATTGCCACCATTCACTTTTCTGTCTTCTGCTGAGCCTTTCTCACATCCTTCCAGAGGTTACCAGCACTTCCAGATCGTTTCTTTCGTCCCCAACAAGGTGAAAGCTGCCTCCAATGGAAAACAGGGCATTTTTATTCACACAATCACGCAGCGTTACACTACATGAAAGCCTGGGCTTACGTAAGGCTGGGATTTTTTTGGTAGTAACTGCTACATAACAGAGCCACCTGGTGATTTGTGCCTTGCATTGCTCTGTAGGAAACTTGAGTTCGGGAGCTCCCTCAGGGCTCTGGGCAGCTGCATTCAGCTCATCTGTCTCTAAGAGAGGTCATGCTGACCAAGCATCACTTTGAATTTTCCTTACCGGCTGGCGGATGTAGCAGTGGTGAGGAAGAGTTATTGCACAAGAAGTGGTCAATGGTAGATGGATACTGAAAGCTGGAATATTATGAACAGTCAGTGCATTAGTGGGACATGTATTTTCTATGTATTACCTAGCAGGAAGGTTACTGCATCTAACACTGTTCAACAAACTGCTGTATGGTTTCCCTTTTATTTTTTCATACAGTGAAATGGTACAGTAGTGAACACTGCTGCCTGTGAATAAATGCATTCAAACTGTATCACCTTTTTTTCATTAGAGGCTATATTTTCATAACTGTTCATGTATTTCTTTCCAGAGTCCATAGCTCTAAATATGAATTTTAACTACTCTGCTTATTTTATGTTACCAATCAGATGCTCACTCTTCAAGCAGAAAACCCCCATGATCACCATGCCTTATGCCAAGACCACCCTACAGAGAGCGAAGCAGACATAAAACCTACAGCAACATTATCAATTTATACCAGCTGAGCATCAAGCTCAGAAAGCAAACCTGAAAAGTTGGTGGTTTTTTTAGTATTGTGAACATGCTCTTAGGACCAAACCAGCTTTGCTTTGTTAAAAAAAAAAGCCAAAAACACCTTTCTGCCATTACAGCTGGTCAAATTACACCAAATAGGCGAAGTTGTCTAAAACATAGTAATATTTTTGCATCCTTTTTGATGGGTGAATCTTTTTTTTTTCTGCCTTTTTTTTTTTTTGCTTGTTAATACAGTGTTCTCATACCAATGCTAATAAGACATTTATATTTGGCATTGCCAGGTGTATCATTCCTACGTGGAGAACCCTGTCAACGCTGTCTTGCCCGGGAATTTTTGCCTTTGTATATAGACTCAGAAATTGGGGATAGTATGCGTTAAAACACGCATCTTCTCTATCCATCTTTCCAGTTTCTGAAAGGCTAAAGATACATGTACTTTGTTAACCCCCAAAATGCATAATGTTTTGAATACATATAAATACATAAATTTGTTCAGTGTAGAAGTGAACAATTCTAGAAGATGCAGAGTGGATTTATTTTTTTGAAGCTTTGTGTGCCCTGAGTGCTTCCTTGCCAGCTTTAGCCGCTGAAGAGTTATCTAACCTAGGGTTTGGGTATGGTTTTTTGGAGCTGAGGGAGTCAAATTTGAACCTTGTAGAGCAACATGGAACAACATAATAACATGCTGCGATTTCGTGCATATCAGTTTGCAATTACCTCTGAGAAACCACTCAGTATGAATTATATAATACTTTAAAAATGTTTTATTACATTTGGTTCTCCGCAGTGCATAACGCTGTCACAGGTTAATTGGTTTGGGTAACGCTAGAAACAAACAGTCCTTGATACATCTGCTAAGTCTGAGTTGGCACAAGAGCTGCAAAATGTTCATACCAACTTTGCTGAGGATCTCATAGCTAATTTGAATGCCTCAACCATCAAAAGAAGTAAGGAATTAACTCTTGAGTTTAATCAGGAATTTCTTCAGAGTAGAACTGGACAGTGGAACCGAACTAGGTCGAGTAGTTTCATGACGTAGATTTTCATCCAGTGGGGACAAAGTTGTACCGAAGTAGTTTTGCTAAGAACAAAGGCCTCAACTTCAAAAACTTGGGAACACAGCAGAAAAGAATTATACTTTCATCCAGGTCATGCATTTTTACATTTTCCCTATTTAATAACCTAAACCTTGGAGATGTAGAATTTGGTGCATGGATTAGGCAAGTCTTTGGAGTTACTGTAAGTCTTCAAAACACAAGGGGTTTGCCTTGGTGGTTTTTTTTTTTTTCTTTAACACTCCTTTACATCTAAAGGTTGTGCTTCCAAATCGCCACTGAAAGCCAAAAGAAACTTTCACCGTAGATGCTGGACGTTGGCAGGGGGATTTGCTGAGGGAGCAGAGTGGACGTTCTCTTGCGGAGCACAGAAGTGAATGCCCAAGAAGAATATTCAAGGAACAGGCTTTTTTCTGTCCCGTTTAAATGGGAAACCCCAGCATACCAGCCTCCAAATTTTAACACCTTTAGATAAAGGTTAATAATGTACATGTATGGAATCCACTGGGGTACTCTCCTATCCACTTACCTGATACAACTCAGATCAGAGTACCGGCAGGTACCTCTGCTGGTTTGAGGACCCTTCTAAATTAGGACAATAATTCTTTTTCTTTATGAAGAGTTTTCAGCTGCTCATTGCTCGCTGCACTGCTTTAGGCAAAGGCAATGGTTTTGACCTGTTTACTTTCACCCTAATGCTTAAACCTTACAGTGTAACACAACTTTAAGCTGCTGCAACAGCTGCTTGACTCGCTCTGAATTTAAGACCCAATTCTTCAATTGGCTATTCTGGCCAATTTCAAATGGGATTTCTGAGCTAGGGTAGGATTGGGAATAGGCCTGTGGGCAGTTCATCGAGCAGTGAATTTTTACAAGAGACTTTGTATTCTTTGGATTCTTTCTTCCCAGACTTTAATGGCAACAAGTTTGGGCTTACCACATATTGTAAGGGAGCAGCTGTTCTTCACCGAAATACTTGTACTGCTCTGCCAACAGAAGTATTCATTCAAAACTGAAGCTATGAAGCCAGAGACACAAAGTACAACACGCAGTACTCATTCAAGTACCAAGATTGTATCAGAACAAAGCTAAAGATTTCCAGCGCTGCCCAGGCATGAATGCTGCTATTAGAGGAAAAGTGTCCAAGTGTGACTGCCTTTGATCCAAGGTTGGTGCAGATCTGGTGGAACTGATAATCATTTAATAGAAAGCAATCATGTTTGATTCTGTGTGGCTATTTTTTTGCTGCTTTTCTCTTAAAGTAATTTAGAAAAGAATTACATGAGTAGTGAGTATGCACTTAACAGTGGTTAACATGACCTCAAAGGCACAGGTCAGTGCTTGTATCGACAAGCTCAAAAAGAAACTTGAACTGTCACTGTGCATGTGAGTACCATATGAAATTTCCTAATATAAGCCAGGAATTAAAACTTACTGTTGTTTAGGCTTTGATTTACTTTTGGAGTTGTTTGCTCTAATCTGTAGAGCCATGTCTTCTCAATCAAGAAAGTGCCATGAGCATTGAATCTAATAAACTAAGGCTTTCATGATTTCAAACTCTTTTGGGTCCTACATCACACCTGTAAACAAGACAGGAGGCTAAGAGCCTCAGTGTAAATGGGAAATGTCTTTATTGCTGCAGCCTGGTTAAACCCCAGATTAGTCCAGTGTTTTGACAATTAGGTTCCTAGCTTGAGCTGGGGAGCTGATGCACTGCAGCTCTAGTGGCAGCATGGAAAAAGGCAGCTGCTAAATACAGCAATGAAAAAAAGACTCCGAAAGGATGAGAAGCGCACAGAGGTGATAGAGCCCCTATCCCCCAGCAATATAAAAAAGTAAAAAAAAAAAATATATAGAAGAAATATAATTAAAGTAGCCTGTGCCAGGGAGCAGAGGAATGGCCTACAGTGGAGCTACCAACCCATTCCACTACTCACCCCAGATACAGCACAGATGCCAGCAATGCACTGCTGCGTAAGCATCACACAATGGTCCTGCCACAGTATGCGAGTCCTGCTGCTTTCTGGAGGATCAGTACACCTGGACTCTTGAAAATTCAGATGAAACGGGAGCTGCTGTGGCTGCTGGATACCCTGATGCTTGCTGAACCCCAGCCAGGGGGCCTGCAGGAGTCTGTGGATCAGTCGGGCACATGTGCTGAGGGGGAGGGAATGTGCCCAGCTGGCAGCAGTGTCCAGATGAGGCTCCAGCATGGGCCTGCACATAACACTCTCCGAAGGCACTGCTGGCTTGGTAGGGGGAAGAAGGGAGGCTGCATCCTGCAGTGTGGCTGTGCTGAGATCCCTTGTGTCCCAGAGCATGGCCACATCCCGGAGCACAGCTGGGCTGAAACCCATGGCTCTGAGCATTGGGGTGCCGCATCTGGAAAGTGGGAAGAGACGGAGATGAAGAGCCATAGTAGCTTTGGGTGGGGTAGGTGCCTGGTGCAGGGTTAATCCTGGGCAGAAAGAAAACAAAAGGTTACTGCTGTGTTCAGAACTGGCATTGCCTAATTAGTGCTGGAAGTGCCCTGAGGGTAGATTTCCTCCTGACCAATGCTCAGAAAGGTCACTCCAATCCATCAGAGAGATTCACTACAAGAGAAGCTCTTATTATAAGAAACACTTGAGTAAAAATAGGTTTACTGGCCTCCCAGGACAGATGTTCCCACTCCCAACCCACACCAATTCCACACCACTGAATGAGAGAGGTTCTTGGCCCAGAGTCTCTTTGTGTGGGGAATACGCAAGCCAAACTGCTGTGTGTGCTTTAAGATTTCCATATGCATCCTCCCTGCCTTCCACTGAACAACACATCTGATGAGTTATTAATCAGAAGAAGTCACAGCTGCCAAGTATGATTTATCAGGAAGACATAAAGGCCTTTGGTACAAGTAAGAGCCCAGGGTACAGAGCAAAAAGGGAAGGAGAGAGTTGCAAATACAATTAATCATTCAGAAGCAAGGTCTAGAAACAGCCTTTGCCAACAGAAGGCATGACTCATGCCGCCAAAACGTATCAAGAGAGAGGCAATCTGCCCAGAAGCCAAAGCCTCTGGGACGTCAGGAGCACTGCTCAGCCCACGCACAACACCAGGAGGAGTTCTGAGAATCAAGACAATATTCCATGACCGCCAGATTCACAGGAAGAATAAGAGACTGGCTCATGTTGGGGTTTTTGGGCTTGGAATATTTTTTTTTTTTATGTGGGGTGTGGGTTTGGTTTTGGTTTTGGTTTGGTTTGTTTGTAGACATAAACACGATGTCAAAGCCTGGACCGCCTAGAAATGTCTCCTGTCTGGTGGCAAGCTGATGCCTGAAGTCTTAAGAAAATTACAAAAAAAAAACCCCAAAACCAAAACAAACCCCAAACCATCAAGAGCCCTTATTTGGGAATAAGAATCAAAATAATAAAAACTAAGCCCCAGAAGCACATATAGAACTTGTGCCGAAGACACAGAGACATGCAAATTTAGCTGCAGAAATGGAAACATCCTAGAAACACCTTCCCACACCCTGCTTGATAGTCAAATGTTTATGTAAATACCTTTGAGCCAGAACAGTCTATTTATGTCATCTCACCTAAAGAAAGCAGGTTTAGACACAGAACTGAGAAGCTGTGCACAAGTTATTAGCCAAAGGATTAGACTGATGCAGACACAGGCTCAGCATGCAGCAAGACTGTCCCTCCTCCCAAAAGCAGCACTTGCACAGAAGGAAGAGAGTAAAAACACAGATGCTGCTGGATCTGCCTGGCCTCCCCTGCAAGCACTCACCCATTTGAGTGCTCTAATGGATCTGGGGTACGATTCTGCTGCAGGCAGGGGGGTTTTTTTATGGTTTCCCCATGGGTGAGGGCAGATGCAAACACTTGCGAATGCTTCCACTTCAAAGAATGCTTTACAGTGAGCTGATGGCTTAAACAATACATAGAATTTAACCCTCAACAGAAAACCATCCTTCCTCTGTGAAACTTAGAGCATCTTAGACATCTTAGAACAGGGAATCATGACTTAGAATCATGACATCTTAGAACAGGGAACAATTTGACCTAGATTTCCAAGCTTTTTCGAATACAAGTGAGTTCTCATAGCCTGTAATATTACACAAACTTAAAATCATTCCTGAATGCCAGCCACAGGCCCCAAGGTTTGTTTTTGGTAAAGTAATCTTGCCTTGACACTGAAAACGTGCACTGAAAGGTCTACGTTGAACTTCGTAAGTTACATCTTCAATCTACAATTCTCTGCTCCTACAAAGATTTGGACACGACTCACTTCACAGCATTCCTAGGAGGCAAGGTGGGGCAAAGAAAGATAAAGATCACACCTCAGGGAGCAATACAGCCAAGAACAAACACCAGAAGCCCTAATGTTAGGGCAGAACTGCACGATTTAGCCTTCATGTCAGCTGAGCTGCAATAACTTTGCACACGTACACACTGCCCTCGCAGCAAACAAGAGGTCTTTCACCTCAATTTAGCTTTCACTGAAAGACCTGGGTGAGTTAATGTGTGCCAACCTATTAGTCGCAGTAATGTCACCAGTGTAACATCAATGGGTCAGCGTGTTCCCCTTATCACCCAGGATATGAACACGACAAGCACAATACAGCTTTTAAAGGTGATTTAATGCCTCCACTTATGCCTCCAAGTTCCCCTGTATCCTAAGATCATTCACAGGAACTCCTGTACTTACTTGCTGTTTTCAAAGGCTCTTCTCTCCGCTAAGGACCCTGGGATGTATCTCAGCCCTGGTATCCTCTTCAGCAGACTGAAAGGGAACACCCGGTCTAGCTTGGAGCCCACTGACTCCGGAAAATCCAAGCAGAAACAGTAGCCAAGACCATCTGAAGTCAGCGGCCTGTTAAGGAGGACTGCAGACAAAACACACTCATTTCTAACGCAGCCACACACAGTCCCCCTCTGGCCACAACCCACTTTCCTTGGAGAATTCTCCCAGTTCTACCCAGCACCATCTTCACAGACCACAGTCCTTCTCAACTCCATGCTCTCTGTGTGCACTAAAGCCACAGGGGAAGTGGAAGCACAAGGTAAAAAACAAATGCAGAACTGGATGAACGGTCATGAGGACTGGCAAAGCCAGTGAGAGATTAATGCAGAGCAAGAGCCCAGGAAACACCATAAAGCCAGTGCACCTCGGCAATGAGAACCGCAGCACATCCTCCCCCTCGCGAACCAGCGATCCCCCTTCGATTCAGGGCTCCACGCTTGAAAAGGATACAGGCTTCCCCAGTTAGAAGCCCACTCAGGTTACTCAAGAGAGAAGAGCGGGGGATAAACCATGCTACGCAGAGCATAAACCATGGCACCAGCACCACGGGAACTCTAACCCCAAAAACTAGCGTCCTCTTCATCCGCGAGCGGGTGGTGGATACACCTAGTGTTGCAAAAGCTACTGGCATGAATCCTTTGGCATCTTCCACCTCCGACACCCTCGAGACAATGGTCTCGAGCAAGAGGTACAGGAGGGCAGAGAGGACAGCAAATGCAACGGTGAGGAAGCAGTGCTTCACAGTGCCAACGTTCTTCTCAAAGCTGCCAGCAAAATACCAGATGATCACAGCACCACAGGTCAAGGATACCAGGTCTTCGTAGACAAAGATGTAGGTAACTAACCTGTGAACTGAGCACACCAGCATGTTAGAAAGGCAGAGGCAGCACTGATTTTATTTAAATTACTACAATGACACACTTCAGCAGAGGGAGAGTGAGCCTACAGGATTAACTAATAGCTTTCATTTCTATCCTGGCGTAGAAGAGAAGGAACCTGAGGCCTTTAAAACCAGGTGTAAATCATAGAATCATAGAATGTTTGGGGTTGGAAGGGACCCTTAGAGGTCATCTAGTCCAACCCCTCTGCAGGAGCAGGGACACCGCTAACTAGATCAGGTTGCTCAGAGCCCCGTCCAACCTGGCCTTGAAAATGCTTCCAAGGATGGGGCCTCCACCACCTCTCTGGGCAACCTGTTCCAGTGTTTCACCACCCTCATTGTAAAGAATTTCTTCCTTATATCCAGTCTAAACCTACCCTGGTTTAGTTTAAAACCATTACCCCTTGTCCTGTCACAGCTGGCCCTACTAAAAAGATTTTCCCCATCTTTCCTATAGGCCCCCTTTAGGTATTGAAAGGCCGCAATCAGGTCTCCCTGCAGCCTTCTCTTCTCCAGGCTGAACAAGCCCAACTCCCTGAGCCTGTCCTCATAGGAGAGGGGCTCCAGCCCTCGGATCATTTTTGTAGCCCTCCTCTGGACCCGCTCCAACA